ACATTCCCCAAATTTTTTTAAGTGCAATTAAAGCATAAAGCCGAATACTAAAATTGTGATGGAAACACCACTGTAGGACAACAATTAGTGCTTTCTTCAAGGCTGATATCTAGAGAAAGAGAAACATACTTTAATCTTTGACTCTACCCAGCAAAGTAGGAAGATATAAAAAATAAAATTCACATAAACTGCCATGAATCTAGATGAACTGGCCCCGTAAAAATTGAATACAATACTGTCTTTAAAAATCTTAAGTACTTATGGTACTGGGATATATGATAATGTCTGGGGGGGGGGGGGAGAAAAAACCTATTAAATGTTGGATTCATACAACAGTTAAATGGTTCATATTTAATATATATCATATTTTCTATCAGCCAAAGGAAATAATTTGTTCATGTCAGCACAGATATAACAGATGTATTAAGAGGCAATGAATTAGAGGTTTAAAATGGAATTAAGCAAATTAATAAAGGATCTGGCAGTCCTGGTGCTATCTATGATGGCCCTATACTGTCTCCTTACCAGTTGTTTATCAAACATACTGACTCACAACAGGGAGATTTCCCATGTTATTTGGCCCTGAAGGAAACAGGATACTTGATTAGATATTGAGACCAAACAGATCTTTGATGGGTTTAGAGATGTTCAAGGAAAACTTCATATAAACATACTATAATACTCTCATCTGGATTGTACCTAGAGCAGATAACAGGATTTATTTTCTATAATAAACTTTTTTAGTTTCAAACAAAAGCACTTACTTTTTCAGATTTATTCTGGAGAATTATGTCAAAATGTGACAGGACTGCTAAAAATGTGCAAATGCTAGTTTTAAATTGATCTTCATCCTGAAAAATAAGTTCTGTATTAATCTCAATTATTTCTCAATTTGTAAAAATATATTGAGCCTAATAAGAATAATTCTTCTCTTCCTAATACTGAATCTTAACTACTGTTATCCTAATACAGCATATATTTTCAATAGTAATAACTCAATGGAGTATATTTTCTAATAATCTTGAATGCATTTTTTATAAAAATAATCCATTCTTTATTTGTACTTCATTCATATTTGACTATAGCTACTCACATAATTAAAGCAATTCCAGAATTTTTCAAGATAATGGGGAAACTTGTGTAAAATCAGAATGATATTCCACTCTATTAAATACTTTACTGATGCTTGATTATTATTATGTCCAGCTTGAAGAATCCTGTCAACGATTCTTGATAAAAGATCCTAAATAAAATATCAGGAATTAAATCAGTTATAATTTATAATGACTTCATCATATTTTATTTATTTAATTGATATCCGGCTTTTCTTTCAGGTGTTAAGATTAGAGCCACTATGTGAGATGGGTAGCTGTGTAAATGTGACAAATAAATAAAATAGATAAAATTATGTCCCAAGCATTGCCCTCTACTAATTTTCCCATAACAATCACCATGTGAAGTACGTTGAACTATGTTGGCTCATCTAGAACCAGGATCTCTTTATGTCTAGTCAGTATCTTAACTACCATATAACACGGGTTTCCCCATACACAGCTGCTTTTCTACATATTTCTTCTCTCCCTAGATGACACAAATATTTAAAAAGTGATATTTTTCTAGGAGTACCTTGCACTATATCCACTATAATTATACAATCTAAATGTAAGTTTCTTTTCCACAGAAGATCACTCTCATTCTAAGCAGAGGATCACACGGTTTTTGTTTATTTATTTATTTATTTATTTATTATTCTAATTTGTATCCCGCCCTTCTCCCGAAGGACTCAGGGCGGCTCACAACATTATTAAAACAAAGAAAAACCCACACACCCCACCGAATAAAACCAAATTAAAACCAAAATTTTTGTGTTGTGATAATTAAAATTGCTAAAAAACCCAATTTAAAAATCCTCCCTAGGCCAGGCCCGCTTGTTGGAAAAGCCATGTCTTGAGGGCACGGCGGAAAGTAAGGAGATCCGGAATAATCCGGATCTCGGGGGGTAGTTCGTTCCAGAGGGCAGGGGCACCCACAGAGAAGGCCCTCCCCCTGGGGGTCGCCAGCCGACATTGCTTGGCCGACGGCACC